CCCACGAACTAGGCGTTGGACATACAAGAAGATCTTAGACGTGGGATCGAGATTAGATCACAACTATTTTTATATTAAATAGTGCTTTGACCAGGATTTGATCCCGGGACCTTGTAGCTCTGATCGCAACTATTTCGTAAGTTACTTTTTTCATTAATCTCTTCATGCAAAGCATACCACCTCATGCATGACTTTTTTCCAGGAAATTAAGTCATGTAAGACATGTAATATTTGCCTTTTGCATTAACTTTAGTCTTCACCCAATCAGCCATATACATTTTTAACAAGTTTTCCGCAGCAATGCATGGGGCATCGTCTAGTATAATTGTAACTTTGTAACTTCAACCCTTGATCTCACTCTCCTGTTGTTCCTATAACTGTTTTAAATAGCGTGTTATGCCAAATAGCAGTGGTCCTTTAAATTAGCTATAACTATTAGCAGACTATTGTACGTGAGTACCATTTAGCGACACCCTGCTCAAAAAGTTATAATGAGGTTATAACAGGGTTATAGTTAGCTATTTAAAATATTGGTTCCTACTCCCTCCGTCCTTAAAAGAGTGTACTTCCAACTTTGTCGGAGAGTCAAACTATCTCAAAGTTTGACCAAGTTTGTGCAAAAATATATCAATGCTTGTGAAACCAAATAGGTATATGAAGAAAATATATTTTATCATGAATCTAATGCTACTAATTGATGGCATAAATGTTGGTCTATTATTGTATAAATACGGTGAAATGATAACCCACAAGTATAGGGGATCGCAACAGTTTTCGATAAGTAAGAGTGTCGAACCCAACGAGGAGCTAAATGTTGAACAAATATTCCCTCAAGTTCTATCGACCACCGATACAACTCTACGCACGCTTGACGTTCGCTTTACCTAGAACAAGTATGAAACTAGAAGTGCTTTGTAGGTGTTGTTGGATAGGTTTGCAAGATAATAAAGAGTACGTAAATAAAAAGTAGGGGCTGTTTAGATAAATAAACAATAAAGTAAATATAGCGATGTGTGGAAAAGTGGTGGTAGGAGTTGTGAAATTGCCCCTAAGCAATTGACTACTTTACTAGACAGATAGCAAGTATTATGTGGGAGAGGCCGCTGTTAGCATGTCATCTCTGACTTGGAATTCTATGCACTTATGATCGGAACTATTAGCAAGCATCTGCAACTACCAATGTTCATTAAGGTAAAACCCAACCATAGCATTAAGGTATATTGGTCCCCCTTCAATCCCGTATGCATCAATTTCTATGCTAGGTTGAAGCTTCTGTCACTCCGCCCTCCAATACATAGTCCTATCAACATACAACTAAGCCTAGGGTGTGATCCATGCGCGCAATCATATGATGGGCACCAAAGAACAGCAACATAACCACAAGCAAATTAAATCAATCATAGCAATTCATCAACCACCGATAGGACAACGAAAATCTACTCAGACATCATAGGATGGCAACACAAATCATTGGATAATAATATGAAGCATAAAGCACCATGTTCAAGTAGAGGGTACAACGGCTTGCGGGAGAGTGGACCCCTGTAGTTAGAGGGGGGAAGGTGATGGAGATGTTGGTGAAGATGGCGGAGTGTTGGTGTAGATCGCGGTGATGATGTTGGCCCCCGGTGGCACTCCGGTGCCGCCGAAAGTGAGGGGGAGAGAGCCCCCCTCCTTCTTATTCTTTCTTGACCTCCTCCCTAGATGGGAGAAGGGTTTTCCCTCTGGTCCATGGCCTCCATGGCATGGGAGGGGCAAGAGACCCTCCGAGATTGGATCTGTCTCTCTGTCTCTCTCTGTTTCTGCGTTCTCAGATTCTTCCCTTTCACCGTTTCTTATATTCCCGGATATCCGTAACTCCGATCGGGCTGAAATTTTAACACGATCTCTATCCGGATATTAGCTTTCTTGCGGCGAAAGAAGGGCACCAACCGCCTTACGGGTGGCTCACGAGGGTCAGGGGCGCGCCCCCTGCCTTGTGGCCACCTCGGGCACCGTCTCGAGTGGATTTTTCTTCCCAAAAATCATATATATTCCAAAAAAAATCTCCGTCTGTTTTTATCCCGTTTGGACTCCGTTTCATATGGATATTCCGCAAAACAAAAAACATGCAACAAACAGGAACTGGCACTAGGCATTGGATGAATATGTTAGTCCCAAAAATAGTATAAAAGTTGCCAAAAGTATATGAAAGTTGTAGAATATTGGCATGAAACAATCAAAAATTATAGATACGACGGAGACGTATCAGCATTCCCAAGCTTAATTCCTGCTCGTCCTCGAGTAGGTAAATGATAAAAAAGATAATTTTTGATGTGGAATGCTACCTAGCATAATCTTGATCACATATCTAATCATGGCATGAATATAAAGATATGAGTAATTC